ATTCTCTCGAGTCCTGGTCTCTCTCTCTCTCTTCCCCCCCCCCTCCCCCCCCTCCCTCTTTCTCTCTCCGCCTGCTGCTGACCATCGTCGCCTGCTATCACACTAATCCCACTATCGTGCCATCCCCAGTACTTTTCCTAATCCTTCTCCTCCTCCTCTTCTCCTTCTCCTCCTTCCCACTCTTGGTGCCAATTGGTAATGCTGGCTTACCATGTGGTGGTATGCTTGTACATACTCGGGCCCATCCCGATCTGGTTAGGTCCGGTATCAGGATTTTAAACCCTGGTTCACATATTCATAATTTAACATATCTACTGTTACATACCTTCTGGAATTGATGCTTTTAGTGACACTACAAAAGAAAAAAAAAAAATGTTGCCACGGAAGATATATGATTTGCATGAGAAACTTATCATATTGCATTTGAATTAGAAAAGGATAGCGGAGGTGCTTCAGCAAGGCATTACATTTATGGGGAATTGTTTGATTTACATGAGAAATTCTTCTTCTCTTTGTTTAATAGGAATGAACATGGACTTCTTATAATTGTTCTTAGTACTGATCTGACATCTGCATTCCATAAAATTATGGATGAGGATTTGGTTTGTACTCATGATTTGGTAGGTCTTAACTCACTAGAATAATGTAGGTGCTACGTATTATGGTGGGGCACTCGCTAATCGAATGAGTTGAATAGCCAAAATGTATTGTGTGAAACATGGTTACTTGTTGGAACTATTGTTGAAAATAATCCAATTGCTTGACAGGTAATGAAATATCTTGCTTAGGTCTGAACTAGAGAGTTCCTTTATTTTAAGAAAAGAATGCATCAAACAGAACAAATCATATCTTTACATGCATAATTGGAGAGCAGGGGGTTTACAATGTGGATAAATCTTGATTAGAAAGCTAAAGTTCATGGCTAGGTAATATGATTGTTTAGAATATTTGAGAATATTCGCATTTGTAATTGAACTGGGGAGTTCCTGTTGGAAGAGCTGAAATCTAGTCGACTTGAAGTTTAAGTACACAACTCACATTTGATTATATGTTAAAATTTACTTACTTTCTGGTTTATACCACTTTCTCTATTTTCTGTGCTAACATTTTCAAAATTCTTTTTTGCATTAATATTTATGGTACCTCTTGCCAGATTATATGAGAGAGCTTTGTCCTTTGTTAAGAAAGACTACTTGTGCTATCAGCTGTGGGATAAATACATTGAATTTGAATATTCACTGAAGCAGTGGAGTCAGCTAGCTCATCTTTACATTAGAACACTAGTATTTCCCACAAAGAAACTGCAAAGCTATTATGAAAGGTACGTATCTTGTTTTATTCCCCAATCTGGGAAATATGAAATGCTTTAGTCTCATGTTGGTGAAGATACAAGATTGTGCTACACTATTCTTGCTTGTCACAAAATTGTTTTTTTAGTTATTAGCACTGGTAATGTGAATTCATTTGTTCTGTTAAGTCATTGATTTGATATAACTTTGATGTCGGGAACATAGTAAATTTGGTACTATCTTGAGTACATAAATTACTTCTGAAGAATCAAGTTTGTGATGATATTATATAACTTGAAACTGCACTTGAAATATTTCAGATTTAAAAGGTTGATTGATATGTGGTCAAAAGAGATGGGTTGCCAGCATGATCTTGATTTTCCAAGAGAAAATACACATAGTCATGGGCTGATAGATATCAAGGATAGTGAATATGTAGAAATCTCAAACCTAATTAGAGAATTTATGGATCAGAAAGCTTCAAAGTATGCATTTAAAAAATTCCTATCCATCGGACAACAATTATATCAGAGATCAAGACAGATAGATGAAAAGATCAGTTGTTTTGAAGCACATATCAGAAGGAATTATTTTCATGTGAAGCCATTGGATTCTGGTCAGCTTGAGAACTGGCATCATTATCTTGACTTTGTTGAAACACAAGGAGATTTTGACTGGGTATAAATTCTACTGATATTATGCTAATTATCTCAAATTTGATCTGTTTCCTTTTACCATCTGAATGACCACATTTTCCTATGACAGATTGTAAAACTTTACGAGAGATGTTTGATTGCTTGTGCTAATTACTCAGAGTTCTGGATTCGATATGTTGAATTTGTGGAAGCAAAGGGTGGCCGCGAGTTAGCAAATCATGCACTGACTCGAGCAGTGACTGTCTTTCTTAAGGTATCCCCCAAAACACACACACATGATTTGTTTGGACAGACTTGTATTACATTTCAGCAAAAAGTTGTTTGGACAGACTTGTATTACATTTCATCGAAAAGTTGTCATTTTTTTGGCTCCTTTTATTTGCTGTGATGGTATTTACAAGGACATTCAAGCTGTTTATATATGTTACCATTTGTCATCTTGCATACGTAATCTTTTGCATAATTCCACAATGTTTTTTCTTTTGAATTTTCTTGGTATTCTATTACTTACAGGCATCTAAAGTGAGACTTTTGAAATAGAATAACTGTGTGCATTATTAAGGTCCAAATTACATAATGTTGACATCTAATTCTGTGAACCTTTTTTTTGGGGGTCATTTAATGTAGCCTTTTAGTGGATCTAATTGTTCAAACAATCACCATAACATGCTTACGTGTTACTAAATGTCTGATGCATCATGCATGGATGATTGGATCCTGATAGTGAAGTATTTATGCAGCATCAACAGGATTATTTGGCTATTTTGTTGAAATTCAAGCACCAAAAGCCATGATGGTAATTGATAGTACATTATGGGAATTATGCATGTAGATGGCACACTATATTTAACTTTTATTTTTTTCTTTGTCATTGTGTGTCAGTTGTTTATGTCATTGTATGTTATTGCCAGTAGAAAGTCCCAGCTTTTTGCATCTACAGCGCCATGTTTAAGGAGAAAATTGGTGATGTCTCTGGTGCACGTGCTCTATTTCTTCAGCGGGATATGGATTTAGCTTCTAACTTGGTTGAAACTGTTTATAGAGAAGCAAACATGGAAAAGCGCATGGTACAAGATAGCTGCAATTATTATTATTTTTTGAGAGATGGAATTGTCAGTACTAATAAATGTCATCATACTCCTGCAGGGGAACACTGATGTAGCTTACCTGATATATGAAAAAGCAATTGAATTGGCTAAAGAAAAGGGGAATCTGAAAATCATTCCAAATTTGTACACTAATTTTGCTCGTTTTACATTTGTGGTAAGCCTGCTGGGGATTCTTTGTCATGGCTGTATCTCACCTTAACTATATCCAGCAGACAGCATAAATGTTGTCTTACAATTGTTGTGTGTGTTGTTTTCCTTTTAACTGTCAACAAAGGAAATGTATAGATCTGCAGATAAACTACTTTTTCTTCAGATGCAGATTGTTTTTTAGGTGTAGTCCTAATTAGAGGGAAAACCGTTTACAAGCAGTGGTAGCTTTGAGGTTTTTAATCACCTTTTCTTTTTGTTTCTTGACTTCACTCTTTTTTCAGGCAAGTGGTAGCTTTGAGGCAGCTAGAGGAGTTTTCGTCAAGGGTATTCAGCAATTACCATGCAAATCAATCCTGGAGGTCCAATTCTTCTGATATTTGCTTTCTTGTTATATTAGAACCTATTCCATTTATTCGTTTATATGTTTGTCTGTGAAGATCAAGTAGTGGCTGCTGATTGTATGCTTGCCACCGTAGAGTTCTACTGACATGGAATATCTTGTATACAGTCTTGTGCATGTATTCTTATCCGTTAATTATAATATTACTTCTTTAGCTTTACCATCATGTTTTTCAGTTCCAAATGTGTATTTCATGTTGGAACTTCACTTTCTGTCCTGTGTATTTAAAATTTGAGAGTATTCTTGAAGTTATGCCTTGTGTTAGGTAGATCATGGAAAAATAAAACTTATTAACATCTCAGATGCCAAGTATGATTCTGAATTGTGTTCCCCTTCCAAGTTCTGGTAGAGCTTTTTTTGCCCTTTATCCACCTGAAGTAATATCCTTAAGGAACTAAATAATGCTCTGTGCTCTATGATTCTTTTGTGTTGTCCTGTTTTTATGTCAGTTGTAACCAATTTGAAGACTTTTACTGATCTTCCATCAGAAGCAACATATTAAGTTGCAAAAACTTTCATGCTGAAGTGTTACTTTTTTTCTTTAGTCTCAGTATTTGATTGATAAGCATGCTGGGGATTCTTCCTTAAGGGACAGTTATAATACAGAGATCTGTATCACAGCAGAAGCTGAAGTTTTTTCGTTTTCTGTTCATACTTACCATGTTTTCTCTAAAATAGATCCTTTAAATGAAGAAAATTATGAATGTCATGTACATACTTCTACAAATTATGATATTTTTGAATATTCATATCGATGATACTAACCACTAAAAGCCTTTCTACAGGAGGGAAAAGAATAGGACAAAAAAATGATTGTATTTATTAAAAAATTAGGTGTAGTGCTAATTGAGGATCACAAACTAAACTAAAGAAAACTTGGTTAGAAACAGCAAGAAAAATGTGATCATTCTTCGTCTACACAGTGACATTGTGCCCAATAGAGCTCACTGGTGGGAAAGAATCCATGTGGTCTGCCCCAATTAGTTGGGAACATCAGTTTATCTTGTTCATAGAATTGTTACTGATAACGACACTTTTGTATTGGATTTTTTTTCTTCTACTGTGTTTATTTTTTTATGTTTCTATTTAACTCATTTATATTCTACAGGGATTGATACACTTTGCAACAATTCATGGTGGAGCTTCTGAGATACCTGTACTGGACACAATTATTGCAAATGTAATAGAGCCAGAATCAAATGTATATGGAGCTTTGGGTTTGCAAGATCGTGAAGACATATCTAGGTCATTCTTAGAGGTAAGATTGCCTTTTCAAGACCACGAGTTCATTAAAACAAATGTACGAGTCTTATGTTCAGAAGAATATATGTCTAGCAACAACTACCTGAATGTTTGTATAGGATGCAACTAAGATCAGGGTTTCAAATACTGGTCACTTGCTGGTATTTAATGATCCAATGAAGGAGTGGAATTGGACCATAGCAGACAGTACCAGTTGGTTTTGTTTTTAATTGCTTTCTTTTACTGGTACTAGGCATTGTGGGGGGTCGATATTCCACCTGGTACACTGGTACCATATCAGTACGGCAGATTACTGATACGTTACGGAGGTTTAAAATCTTGACTCCTCTGATAAACAGCCATTTGGATGGTTTTTTATCTGATAAACTCTTGTCTTGACTCTTATCTGATAAACAGATTGTGGGAACAAAGATAGCTTGGCCTTATATGATTGATCAGAAACATAAATATGATAAGTACTGGTGTGGTGGAGTTAATAATTTTTTAAACCTCAATCTATTTGAGAAACTACAGGAGTTGCACATGTAAAGTTCTGTAAGTGTCTGGGATGGTGTTTGACTTCAACTTATGTCAAGATTAGTGCTTCTCAATTCTACAGTGAAGGGTCAGAGGAAGATTGCTAATGTAACTACAAGTGGTCTAGTGCTATATGTTTTTACTTTATTGTTTATACTATTCTTTACACTTGGAAAAACTGAATAATGATTATTGACTGGAATTTAAAATGTATAAGATAAATTAAGACTAAATTGAATATACTTTTATTAGAAGCTAGATATTTTTATGATGATTGTTAATGTAACTCACTGCATTTAATTTAAAGAAAAAGCACAACTATTAAATCAATGAATCTTAGTTGCCCAGTAGTGTTGTTGTCACTTGATGTTAGCTCTCTTAATGCTTATATGGATATTAATTATTAAATGACATGAACACTGCTCATGTGACACTCTATACGGTTATATAGACCCCCAAACCCATTTTTTGAATTCTTTTCCCTTTTTCCATTAGACATCAGGAATGCCACGAGGATGGGCATTACTATGGTATCATGCTTTCAGTTGTTTCTTCTTGGACTGTTCTTAGGGATACCTGCTTACTTATGTATGGTGGTAGTCACTCTAAAACTTGTAAGTGAAAATCATCATATTTTTTTTAGGATTTGTATGTGCATGATCATGTGAATGTAGCTCACATGTTAATCTTTTGCACAATTGCCACAATACTGGACATTTTAGTGCACCAACTCTTTCGTATCATCTATCCTTTTTGTGATAGGCTGTGAACGGGCAAATTCAAATTTTTCTGCAACTGCAAGTGGATTGTTGATATTGTTGCAATGTTTCATTACTATTGTTAATTTTTAGTACAGTGAGTCTCATTAGGGTAATAATTTAAGCTTTTACTTATATGCTCAGTTCATAGATATTTAAGAATGGTTCATTCTCTAGTTATTGACTCTTGATTTATATTTTTACACCACTTTTGATATTTGCTGCTAATTATTTCTGATTGCTACCAGCAGTTCATGGACCTTTATGGAAATATTCATGAAATTAGAAAGGCATGGGATCGCCATAGGAAACTTTTCTCGCATATTATGAGAGTACCACTCGACCGTACATTTGTGGAGAAAAGCAGTATACACAAGAGCAAGGACGGAAGGAAGGGAACAGTGAGTGCTGTTTCTCGTAGTGGTTGTTTTGATAACAGCAATCCAGCCCTGGGTATGCATCAGGTGAAACACTCACCTGCACAATATAATGTTGATATCCTTTCAGAAAGGGATGCAACTAGCAACTTGCATTTGGAGATAGATAAAAATAGTGCAAAGGAAATACAGGGACAGGATGCTAAATTACCAGAGCAGCCTATGATGGAACAGAGTGGACCGCATGTCATCACTAATGAGCAAGTTCATGAAGCTCCTGCTACGGCTCAAGTAACAGATGTCCCCTTGGAATGCTCTAAGATTGAAAATGATAAACCTGAACACAATTCAGATGACAACATAAGACCACCTTCGCGCGACAATCTCCAAATGAATTCTCCAGACTCTGACAGTCGGCAGGTGACTTTGAACACTCTAGTTGAGACTGAACTTTCAGAACAAGTAATTACGGTTCCATGTGGCAGCAAAGTTCACGATGGTATGGACACAGTTGAGGCCTCTGGATGTGATGAACCTGATCCATTGGACATGAAATTAAGCACATCTTCTCAAGCTGATTTTCAGAAAGATGAGTCACATTCGCATCAAGCTACTGAGCCTCCTGCTATAGCTGCAGAATTGAAATTGCAACAGCAACAGAGCGCTCAATCAAAGTCTAAATTGAAGCATGATTTACCTGTTAGTATTGCATCTCCTCAACTTGATAGCAGCGGAGGAAGCTGGACCCAGATGAGCTATGGAAGGCAGGCTCCTGAAGAAGTTACCTCATCTCATCAGCATAGCCAAGCATCACAACCTCAGCAAGGGCAGGTTCCTGCACAGATCCAGAACCCTTCTGCTGGAACTAGCTCACAGCTTCTTATGGATCAAAGTCATCCATGTCAGTCTCAGGTTTGGACAAGCACGCAAGCTCAGCAGGCTAACCAAATCCAGCTTCTGTATCAGATGGCTGCTGCTCAAGCCTACCAAAATGGCAACTATGCTTGGGCAGGGCAAAATATGCAGCATCAGGGTTTGGTATATGTGCAACCCCAACCCAGCCCTCAACCTGCTTCTCAAGCCCAAACTCTAGTTTACCAGCAACTGCACCAGAACAGTGAACAATATGGATATTCTCAAAGTGGCCAAGTGTTTGCACCTCATATCTGGCATTATTATCAGCAACAATTGTACTATCTGCAACAGCAACAGCAGCAGCAGCAGCAGCAACAACAGTCATCACAGATTTCACAGGCACAACAACCACAAGAATCTCTCTCTCAGCAGCTGTCACTGGAGACCCAACAATTGCTCCTCCAACTACAGCAGCAACAATACCAACAACTTAACCAACAGGAGCCGCAACAAAACCTTTCTTCGCCAACGCAAAACCAGAACCATCAACATCAGCCGCAGCAAAAACCATCTCATCTTCAGCAACAGAATGAGCAGGCTAATCAGACACAAGAACAGCAGCAGCTTTTATACCTGCAACAACAGCAGCAACAGATGTATCTTCATCAGCAGCTGTACCTGCAGCAGCAACAGCAGCTACTTCAACAGCAGATGCTCCAGCAGCAACAGCAACAAGCACCACAACAATTTTTCCAACAGCAGCAGCTACTACAACAACAGCAACAACAACTTTTGCTACTACAGCAGCAGCACCAACAGCAGCAACTATTACAGGTGCAGCAGCTAGAGCACCAACAGCAGCAGAGATTCGATGCATCAGAAATTCAAGTTCAACCGACTAGTTCTCATCTTCAGGTAGGCCATTTATTTCACAGTAATAAATACAAGTATTTATTAACTTATCTATTAATTTTCTTGTTCGGACCATGCCATCTATACAAACTGCCATTTCATGTGTATTCAAAGGTTATATGACAACAACAAAAACAAGCCATAATTATTCGAAGACTATATGCTTTCTAAAATTAGATTTGGAAAGGTGGAGAATGATGCATATTCCTTTTAGGTAATAAGTCTAACTTTCATTAGATTTCAGTTCTTTTGTTACCATTTCAAGAAATTTTCTAGATATTAATTAGTTTCTTAGTTCACAATCTTAGAACACCAAATTATGCCTGAACACTATGCAACCAATAAGCAAAAGGAAGATCATCGTCAGAAAGTTGACAATTCTCTTGTAAATTCCAAAACTTGTAGTTCTCTTAGGTGTTTGCCGTGATCTAAAACAAGCAGGCTTAGAGGAAGAAGAAGATGGAGACGATGACTGGGCCATAGGTCTTAAAAGAAACTTGAATTTCATCCATAATTCATTATAATTACCATAGACTCAACCTACTTATTTATATGTAGTTGGAATATCAAGAGATTTCAATTAGAGGGTTCAACCAGAAAATAAGAATAAAAATAAGTATCATATACTAAGTATTTACGCAACACAAAACTGACCTAAATTTGACTTAATAGACTTGGTACTGATACAAAATAATAAACCTGAACAAAACTCAAGTTAAATTTGACTGTAACATATAAAGCTGACCTAAATTGAATTTTGACATTTAAAAGCCTAATCAGACTTCAACAGGAAATTGACTTAGTTGAATAGTAATTAAACCTAAACCCAGCCCTGATCTTTTAGCAGTTGACATAACGTGAACCTAGCTTCTTTAAGATAACCAGGCTTCTTCTGTTTGATGTCTGAACATGAAAAAACTAATGCATCAGGTTGTCGTTGATAGAAAATTGGCTTATTTATGTCTATGGGATTATAATTAGTAGTATAATTGCACGTAGCAAACGTTGTTGCATCCCCCCCTAAGATGCACCAATATCTAGCTGAATTTTGTGAGGATGCATAATGATTGTACTAGGCAGCAGCCATTATGGTATATTTTTTTACCCATTGAAGTTTAGTTGATCTTTTAGCAATTCTTTTCTTGCACACTACTAAATTTGGCATCGATTGTGGAGAATTGATGAGGTTGTTGCTTTTCATAAAGTTTCTACTGTTTTTATAGAACCTATATTAATGGGAAATCTCCTTGGATCTGTGCAGTTGATAGAATTACTCCTACATGTTGGGAGTACAAAGAACTTACTGCTATAAGATAGCATTTATTACGTATTGATGCATTAGAAATGAGAAGGTGAAATCTTTTCTAAGTTGACAATTTGGGTGATGAATAATTAGGATGGAGAAAATTTACGACTGATGCATTACTTTTTACTCTCTAAAATGCCTGATGAGATCATTTCTTTTGTAGGCTGAAGAGGCCAACTTGATGAAAGTTGAGCAAACTACGGGTTCTCAGTCATCGACCCCCCAGCGGACTCCCACCAAGCAGTGATTATGTTTGTCCAAGTCCAAAACTTATGGTATGAGACATCTTGCACATTTGAGATGGCTGTACCTTTAGGTTAGAATAGCCATCATGCATGTGTCATTGTCCATGATTCGATAGCTACGTCTTGACTCATTAAAATTATATTGATCCTGTTGTAGATGGTTATGTAGGCATCTGTTGAAGTTTCTTCGGTCGAAGGATGATTTGGGACCGCCTCCGAGTTGAACTAGATTTGATAGAATCAAGTATTCCGGATGTTCGAGTGAGTGCACCAAATGATATGCCGACTGACTCGCATTGGGGAAATTCGTGATGCGGACGTATTAATGATCGCCCAGGTTCCATGAAGTGAACTAGATTTGATAGAATCAAGTATTCCAGATGTTCGAGTGCACCAGGTGATTTGCCAACTTGTATCGTTGGATATTATTGGAAATTCTTGATCGCCCATGAGACTTCCATATGAAATCATCACTAATTATAAATGTTCTTAGGGTTTAAAATTGTTCTGAATATTAGTGATGCCAACATGTGGAAAAGCCGCACAGCAGATGGCCTGCGTCGTGTCTGTCTCCTAGTGTTTTGATGCTGAAGGATGGCAATAGCCACCGGCGAATTGCAAGAATAGCAACAGTCGACACTAGAAGCAGATGAATGTGCTGAGAAAGAAACGTTAAATTCTCCAGTAGTATTTAACCGCAGACAAATGTTGATGAATGTGCTGAGAAAGAAACATTCCTTTGAGCGCCTTCTCCCGTTCATTGGGTATGATCCCGATAATGAAAACCATTGTGTCTCAGCATCCTCTGACTGTCATTGCCGTCGTCACCTCCATTATCATGCTGTTTCTGGTGGATGCTTGCTAATCTAGTTCTTCTTCCTGGATCTCTAACCTCATTAGAAGATTGTTCAGCTTGGAAAGACCTGCAACAAACACAAATATCTATACTTTTCATATTTGTATCCATAGTAACTACTGGAGTACTTGTTTCACTCCAACAAATGGAGTATTTGGGGATAAGCCAAGCCATGATTGATCAATCTGGAGATGACCACGGAATAAAAAGTTCCCTTTTTTTTTTCTTCTTCTTTTTGCCTTCAAATAAAAGAGAGAATAGGAAGTTCAACTAAATAAATCATCACTGATAATGAACAGTCAAATCTTGCAAAATTATAGAAGCATCGTAGTCCTTAAGATCAAGGACACAAATGCATTAATGGATACCGCAGAGTTTCAAAGAGCAGTAGCACAATGAAATCTACAGCACCAACATCAATAAACTGCGTTTCAACACTAAATAATCAGGGTTACACTATTATAATAAAGGGACTTGATACCTGCAAGTTGGTCACACAGAGAGAAACTGATCATTGTAAACGGCGCCAGAGAATTTGGTGTCTGTTGAAAACCCCCCACAAACTAACTTAACCAACAACCCACCGAAAGTAAAAGCTTCAAAAGTTCAACAAGAAACATCCGATTGCATCATAACACTCATATGATGAGGACCATCACAATTCCAAGCTCTGCTGCTATTCCAGAAGCAAGTTATACCTAAATGTATGACAATTTGATCAGAATTTATCGACAGTATTCATTCATGGAAACAGAAGGCTAACTGAGAAGTTCCTGTGTACCTCTGAACAATCTTAACATTTAACTCCTTGAAGATATCCATCTCCTCTCCACCTCTACCTAATACCTATCGAGTACGATCAGTGGTCATGTGATGACGAACCTGAAGCCCAACGCTTTTAGCAGACAAAACAGCTCTTCCATAGTAAGAGAACCTAAAAAGCTTGCACGCGTGGTTAAGTATTATTTAGCTGTGGATTTCTTTTCCACAAGATTAAATATAGGTGAAACTCTTTTCCAACAATATATATGACAGCTGTTCTGTGTCCAGTAATTGTTCTGCTCTCATTTTCTCCCAACCTAAATTCGACTTTCAACTATGTTACATTTAACAATTGTAGCATAACAAGTATATCACCCGGACACCGCATTCCATAAATGATTTAACATTGCATGAAACATCTAAATTTTGAAAAAATGGAATCCCCTTAGATTCCATTATAACATCAGCAAACAGTTGAGCGAAGAGAAGGTATCATTTGCATAAATTTTGTAGATTTGTATGCAAATATTCAAAATTATAGTACATGACATTAGGAGCAAATCCATTGTATCTATTCTCTTTAAAAAAAACAAAAAAGAACACCTAGATGGAATTGTTCAAAGCACATAAGGATCGGTGAGTCTTGTTCTGATTCAATTTGATTGTCAGACATAAAGCTAATCAATAGTAAATAATGACTCCATAATTTCAGGCTCTCATAGCATCTTAGGATTAACATCACATCAGAAAACTCTGGCACAAATATACTTGGTATAGTTTCAAAGACAAAGTAGAAAGAATCTAACCATCCTATTCCTAAAAAACAAAAGAAACGGTTGCAAAGTCGCATACTCTGGAACAGGTTAAGCTGGTTGATCTCACTCACTAAGAAGCACAGGTCCCGCCTGCCTGGCAGGCTTGAGAGCCTCAAGGAACTTCTGGAGCTCGAGGAGGACGATGCGTTGAGCGAAGAAGCAAAGAGGAGAAGAAGGAGGCAGCTTTGTGGACCCAGCTGTCCCACTGGTACCTCGCAATAGAGTGCGACTCGATAAAGGGGGACGAGGTGGGAAGGAAGATCTTCAAGATTCAGATGATAATTCACCTCAAAAATCCTCAAACATCTTTGCTTTCTTAGGGGTCCTAAGCAAATCCCACACCATTGACATGGGAACCTTGATAACTAAGTTCTCATACACATAGGGGTTGAGAAACTTGCTTGCACCAAAAGTGTCCAAAGTTATATTTCTCCGAGCATTAGTTGTGAGATTGCATTCAAATCACAAATTTCTGTCGCTTGCATTCACCCAAACAATTAGCTGACAGGCCAAACAACGACCATCCAAACAGGGCCAATTCATCCAATGAATACCGAGTGTATCTATCTCATGTTATCTACTCAAAAGTTCTTAACCACATCAGTATCAGAAACAGAGCACCAAAAGCAGGTCAACACCAACCAATGTCGAGACTTCCTCACACCCAGATGATGCAAGAACATCTGGATCTACCAATCTGCCTACCGTATATTAACCCATTGCTATTAGCATTTATGAGTCCGCAATTTTCTAGAATCCCCAAAGCAATTTCTCGTACAAACAAAAAAAGGGAACCAAGAATCCATGAAACCCTTGCAAAATACCCATATACTGGAACCCTTAAACAGAAAAAAGAGCACAGAGATTTCCCATACCTGACCGGGTGTCACTCGATCGGACACCACCATCTTCCTCTGCAATCAAACCCTAACGAGAACTGCAAGAAACGACCGCATGAAGATCCAAGAATAAAGAGGAACCAAAGAAACCGAGCGAGAGATCTCCCCCTCCTTATTCTTCAGGGATCAGAGGGACCCCAGGCGGAGCTTCTTCAACACGGGAAGAATCGAAGAGCCAAAGCAAGAACGGAGCAGGAGCAACCGACGAAGGCCACCAAATAGAGCCAGAGAGGGAAGAAGGGTCAGAATGGATCGGCAGAGAAGTCGCCCTCCCACGGGAGCGGTCGGAGAGGAGGAGGAGGGAGAGATGGGCGGAAGGTCGGTGATGGGTTTCTGGACTCTCGGCTTCTTTTGTCCTCCCCCATTTAGTGGAAGGAGAAAATTGCAGTATATTACGCATTGGCGCAGCAGTCACCGTTCGATTCAATGCTTATGAAGATTGTACGGTGGATCTCGCATCCGCATGCTCTGCTTTTTTTTTTGGAGACGAGACGCCGGCGGCATGGGATGACGTAAGAATCGGCTTCTTATTTAATCCATGACGTCATAACGCCTCGCGGAGCCCACAGAACCCGCAGGAGGAAACCTAGTGTCCCCGTCTTCGTGGAGACAGGAAGAGAGA